CACTGGTGTCCTTGGGGGCTGGGTCCGAGTCGAAGATGACCTGGGCGCAGGGGTTGATCCACATCTAGGGGGGAAGGAGTCGGTTAGCGGGATGATCCCTGCCCCCAACACCACACCGCCCCCCCCCCCCCACCACCCCCACTCCACTTCCCTGGCATGGCACTACACCCATGGCCCTTCCATCAGGCAGACCCTCCTCTAGGCACCAGCGACCCCGGCATTAGCCCCTGGATCTCCCTCAACATGGGGGGAGCCCCCTTCAGGCTACACTTCCATCTGCGGGAGGGGAGTCAGGGCCGATGGGGAAACTGAGGCACGGAGAGGTCACAGGACGGGCTGGGATTAGAAGCCAGGTCTCTTGCCTCCTGACCCGGCGCGCTACCCACTATGCTCACTTAGCCCCAGACCGGGAGGTGCTTCGGACCGGCCCAGCCGCTAACGGAGCCTCGAAGGTCCTTGCGTGCCACGGGCCAGTGCCCCTGGGCCTAGGGAAGCCGATGCCAAGTCCCCCTCCCCCAGCCTTACCTTGAAGTCTGGGAACACGGGCATCACCTCCATGGGGGTGACGCGAGGTTTGCTGTAATGCTGGGAAATCTGGGGACGGAGGAAGCAGAGAGACAGTGAGGCCTCAGGGGAGGGGTAACCCTAAATCCCCTCCTCCTCCCTCTCCTCCCCTGCCCCCCGCTTTCAACATGGGCCCTTTAAGGCTTAAAGGTACAGTACGTTGTGTGGGGGAGGAGGGAGATATTTAAAAGGGCGACTCACTGATTTCTGGGCATCCTCGAAGGTCTTCTCGATGGCAGCGATCTGGCTGTCCCGGTCCTTGTAGATCTCCTCCTCCGTGAACTGCTGCTTGACAGACACGCCGATCCTGATTGGGGGCAGAGTTAGCAGAGTGAGGCCTGCTGGGAAAACACTGCCCCCTGGCTGGATGCAACCAGCAACGCTGAATGCGACGCTCCCCCTGACCCTCGCCAGCTGGATCGAACCGGATCCAACACCACCCGTGGCTAGGTCCACAAGCACCAGACCTATGCTGCCCCCTGCTGGACGCAACCAGTCCTGTGCCAGGATAGGTCTCCCCCTAGTGGCTGAAAATACTGCACCCCAACACAGGGGCAGCCGAGCAGACTCTCCGACCCCCCACGCTCCTTGTGGCAGGGGGCCATGCAGCATCACAAGAGGAAGCGGAGATCCCAGAGGGAGGGTAACCTCCCTCCCTCCCATAAAGGGGATGGTCCCCCCCCCCACCCCCGGGATGCTGTCCCTGCCCAGGAGAGTCACCCCAGCTGGCTCCCGGCCCACTCACTTGACCTCCGGCTTCTCGTTGGACACGCCATAGCGGTTGAATTCGGTGGAGATGTATTCTGTCTTCCTCATCCATGGTACCACTTTGGCATGCTGCTGGGATCTAGGGCAGAGAAGGATGGGGGGCTTATAGGCCGTGGGGCAGAGGGAGCTGCTGATTGCCCCCTCCTGATGTGTGTGGGGGGGGAAGAACCTCGCACTGGGGGACAGGGCTCAATCGGGTGGCACCGAGCAAAGGGACCCCAAGGCCGCACAGCAGGGCGGGGAGAGCTGGCTAGCCAGGGGTTCAGGGAGGGGCTGCTCTCCACAGCCAGGGGATGCCATGTGTTTTGGGGGCCGGGCTACCTCTTCGAGCTGGTGGGAGCCTGGATTTCCTCCTCCAGCAGCTTTTCGTCGGCCGGATCCAGGAGAACTGGAAGAGGCAGAGCAGGATGAGACAGGACCTGCGCCAGCCCCCCCTCCCATCATGCCCCACCCCCCACCTCCAAAGCTCCTGGGTTCGGCTCTCAGTGGGGCAGGACTGATTGGAGATGGGTGCAATGGAGATTCTTCAGTGAGCAAGATGTTTCGTGGGGGGCACTTTGAAACTAGAACCCAGGATTCGGGGTGCAAGGAGGGACCCCTGAAATGCAAAAGATGCCCCCGCCCGACGTGGGCACGCACAACAAACACACCCACACCCCAGTCAGTGCAAGACACAAACAGTGCCCCAGGATCTGTCGGTGATGCACACGTGGGTGCCTGCCCGGCCCGGCTCTCACCATTGGGGTCGATGCGATACGTGTCAGGGTTGATGAGGTCGATGGTCACGCCCAGGTCCGGCTCAGTGAGGAGGTCATGTTTGTGCTGTTTCTCCAGAGAGGTGGCTTTGTACTGCACAAACCTGGGGGAGGGACAGGTGAGACGCCAGCCCGGGAGAGCCCCCTGGGCAGAGCCCTCTCCCCTCCCCCAGCCTCCATCCCGGGAGCGGCACTGGTGAGCCTGGGAGGGGGCCCCGATCCCAGCCCGGCTCAGCAGCTGCTCTCTCACCTGTTCTGGTCAAAGGGATATGTGATGAATTTGGGGTCGAAGGGAATATCCGGGAGACTGTTGCAGTATTTCACCCGACACACCACGCCCGATCTGGAAGCACAGGGAGAGACATCAGCACTGGGGGTGGGGGTCTGCCCCTCCCCCCCCCGGATTCCTGGGGTCCTTATCCCTCATCCCACCAGCCCAGCCTAGGGTGACAGGGTGAGTTTGGAGCAGGGCACCATGGAGGACAGGGATCCCGGACTCCTGGGTTCCTTATCCTCCGCCAGCAGCGGGGGATGGAAAGAGTGCATGCGGAGGGAGCTATGGGTGGGGGATAGTGGAAGGGGTCATGTGCCAAACACCCCGCCCCCACCGAACTGTGCTGGAATCTCCAATGCCCCACGTCAATGGCAACCTACGATCGTGCCCGGCCGCCGTGAAATGAGTTTGCTGGGACTCTGGGACTCAGACGGAGGTGGGGAGGGATAGCTCAGTGGTTTGAGCATTGGCTTGCTAAACCCAAAGTTGTGAGTTCAATCCTTGAGGGGGCCATTTGGGATCTAGGGCAAAGATTGGGGATTGGTCCTGCTTTGAGCAGGGGTTTGGACTAGATGACTTTCTGAGGTCTCTCCCAACTGTGAGAGTCTATGATTCATTGTGTAAGGTTTAATCTTTCTTGGTCCTACTTTGAGCAGGGGGTTGGACTAGATGACCTCCTGAGGTCCCTTCCAACCCTGATATTCTATGATTCTATGATTCTGTCCGGTTTGTGAGTGACAAGCAGCCACAGCAATCGCTCCCCCCACCAGCCTTTGCCAGCAAGTCCAAGGGCTGGGCAGGGGAGCAGTAAAAACAGGACTGTTTCCTCCCCACCTCCCAGGGCACAGCGGTGGGGGAACTGTGAGCTGTGGGACGAGGAGGGGTCATACCTCTCAGGCAGGGTCCGGTGAGCGTTGGGCCTGCAAAGACAAGGAAATAAATAACAACATTAAATAATCACAACACTGTGGGCTCTTTTCGTCCAATGCCCTTTACCAAAGAGTGTCGGTAGCATTATCCCCACTCTGCAGATGGGGAAACTGAGGCACAGAGTGGCAGAAAGAGGGTCAACACCAGGGTGGGGTGGGGGAGGGGAGGAGAACCTGTCTGTGGGTCTGGTCCCTGGAGGCTGCCCCAAAGTGAGAGCCCTGCCCAGACTCTCCACATAGAGTGAAACCGATTTAAAGCACTTTATCAATATTGATGCGTTGCTCCTCCCCCACAGAAGGCAAGTCAGCAGCATCAGCTCTATTGGCCAGAAGGGGAAACTGAGGCAAGACCAGCAGCAGGGCCAGGATCCACCAAGTGGAACTGCTGTGGACTTTGTGTGGCCACGTCTGGGGTGGGATATGGCAGCCACACAGTGACGCTATGCTGGAGTTTAGTGGGGGTTAGGTCAGGCCTCCCAGGGGACTCTGAACAGGCCCTCCCCACGGGGCTCTGGCTGTCCACACACCGGGAGATGGAACCCAGGAGTCTGGGTTCCCAGCGCCCTGCCCCGACTCTCCCCATCCCCCCCCCCGGCAGGGAGGGTGGGGTGGTGAAGGGACACAGGAGTCCAGGACCCTGACTCTCCCCATCACCCCTGCTATGGGGGGGGAATCCCAGAAGTCCGGGCTCCCAGCTCCTCCAACTCTCCCCATCACCCCTGGCAGAAGGGGGGACAGGGAGAGAACCCAAGAGTCTGGCTCCCAGCCCCCCTCCCCAACTCTCCCCATCCCCCCCGACAGGGAGGGTGGGGTGGTGAAGGGACCCAGACTCTCCCTATCACCCCTGCTATGGGGGGGGAGTGCAGGCTCCCAGCTCCCCCCAACTCTCCCCATCACCCCTGGCGGGAAGGGACCCAGGAGTCCAGGCTCCTAGCTTCCCTCCAACACCCCTGGCGGGAAGGGACCCAGGAGTCCGGGTTCCCAGGTTCCCCCGCATCATCCCTGGCGGGAAGGGACCCAGGAGTCCGGGTTCCCAGGTTCCCCCGCCCCCCCCATCATCCCTGGCGGGAAGGGACCCAGGAGTCCGGGTTCCCAGGTTCCCCCGCCCCCCATCATCCCTGGCGGGAAGGGACCCAGGAGTCCGGGCTCCCAGCTTCCCCCCCACTCCCACTCTCCCCAGCACCCCTGGTGGGAAGGGACCCAGGAGTCCGGGCCCCGTGACGTCACGGGGGTATGAGGTCACGGCTGTGACGTGCGGCCGGGGGCGGCCCTACCTGTGCCCCGGCTCCTCCCGCTGCGCCTGGGTCTGGATGGTCGGGGCCATGGCGGGGCCGCGGCTGCGATCGCTGCTGCCCCGCCGCGGGGCCTGCGGGCGGGGAGGGTGGCCGAGGCCCGCCTGACGGGAAACGCGGCCGCGCCCCGCGGAGCGGCTCCGGGAGAGGGAGCTCGAGGAGGCGGGGAGGCGAGGCGGCGGGACCCTGGGCGGACCGAGACTCCGCCCCGGAGACAGGCACCGGGGTAGACACCTACGGACGGGCTCACAGGGCCCTGCTACCGCGCAGTCTCACGGGAAGCGCGGCTCGGAGAGGTACACTTCCGGGCAGAGAGCAGGGCGTGCTGGGAGTTGTAGTGCCCGGAACGGCGCTCTCGGAACGTATTGCGCATGAACGCTCGGGGCGCGGTTCATGACGGGAACGGGAGTCTCCAGTCTGCGGGGAGCGATGCATGCCGGGAGCTGTAGTTCCAGGCGTGTGCGGGAGGGGCCAGCTGGGCGAGGAGCGGCGCGCGCAATGCAGGCTGGGAGTTTTAGTCATTGTGCGGGCAGGGAGCGCGTGGTGCACGCTGGGAATCGTAGTTCGCGGTGCACGCCGGGAGGGAGCTGTCGTTGCTAGGGAAGATGGCGGCCCCCTCACAGCAGCAGCAGCAGCAGCAGCCGCAGCCGGCCCCGTCTCAGGCCCCGCCGCCGCTCACGCTCCAGGCGGGCCCGGGGCAGCAGCCCCAGCTGCAGGCCCAGGCGGCCGCGCAGGCGCAGGCGCAGGCCCAGGCCGCCGCCGCCGCGCAGGCGCAGGATTTCGACCCCGTGCAGCGCTACAAGATGCTGATCCCGCAGCTGAAGGAGAGTCTGCAGGTGGGGGCGGGGCCTGGGGAGGGGGCGGGGCCCACCGCTGGAGGTGAGGGGGAAGGGCTAAGCGGAAGGGGGTGTGGCCTGAAGGGGCGGGGCGGAGCTTCCAGGGCGGCGGCTGAGGTCTATGGGGGAGTGGGTGGGGCATGCGGGATGGGGGGCGGGGCAGCTGCTGGGGTGGGCAGAGTTAAGGCTGTTTAGTGGGGGCATTTGCTGATGAGCGCGGCGGGGGCCATTTCTGTGTTGCGCCGGGTGGGAGCATGGCTGCGGTGCCCTTTAACCTGCCGCGCGGTGCGTTTGGTGAAACGGTAACTCACTGTTTACTAGGGATATTACAGTCGCGCCTCGAGTCCCCCTCACTCAGGACCGAGCCCTCATTGTGCCAGGCGGACCTAGTGAGAGACAGTCTCTGCCCCCCAAGGGCTCCCAGTCCGACCAGAGAGACAACCGGTAGGAGGAGAGAAGCATCATCCGCTCAATCCAGCAGATGGTGGAGTGAGGCCCAGCGAGGTTAACGCTCTGATGCTGCAGGCATGTGCTTCACCATAAGCCTGGGAATAACGCTGTTGATTCCAGTGGCAAGGCTTTTCCTGGGTGCCCAAAATACATGGGGGGGGCAGGGGGTGTTTGCCCGATTAGCAGGTAAATGTCTTGTCCGCAGGCACACAGGACATCTGTAGCAGAGGCGGGAAGAGAATCCAGATTCATTCCAGTGCCTTAACCAGAAAGCCAGCCGCCTTCTTCAATGCTTAGCTAAACAGCTGATCGTAGCAATCGTTAGCCATTTGGGTTGTTCCTGTGTGGTCACAAGGGCTTAACAGGCTGAAAGTCCAATGTCGGAACAGACTTAATGTTCCCATTTAATAGGGGGTCTGCCTGTGAGCTGCCGCCACCCCTCGGTTGGTGGGATTTTATCATGGATGTTATAAGCCACCAGGAGAACGGCATTCTGGCAACATGTCTGAAAAGCGTAAGACGTTGGCTGTGGACAATGGCCCCAGTAGTCTGTAAACCAGAGCAACTGTAAACATCTGCGTTACAAATGAAGTCATTCCACTTTATGCACAATATACGATGTTGGCATTTTGTGAGGAAAGACTCGAGCTTTGCCCCGTCTGAGCGACATAGTGTCCATGTTTCACAACTGTACAGCAGTACGGAGAGGATACAGCTCGAATAGATCTGAACTTGGCTGTCGTGCCAAGATGATGATGATGCCGTATTTGTTGTAAACAACCCATGGCAGACGCTGCAATGCCAATCTGGTGAAGAACCCCCGGGTGAGAGCTGGAGGGACTGGTGAGTATTGAACCCAAATAGCAAAAGCTGGAGACTGCTTTGGCGGTTTCATTATTCAAAGAGATTGGAGTCACAGCTGGACCTGATCCTAGGTTTTGCATTTTAGTCTTTGACCATGAACGTGGAGGCTGACCTTGGCCGACAACTCCTCCGTTTACTGGAGTGCCTCACGAAACCTGTCGGGGCTCTATACTAGGAGAACAACGGCATCAGCAGAGTCAAGGTCTGAGAGCGAGAGATCACCGATTTTAATGCCTATGGATCTGATGGAAGGCTGCATTATGAAATCCATTGCCTGACAAAAGAGTGCAGGGGCCAAGACAAAGCCCTGCCTGACACCAGATACGGATTTAAAAGGTGCCGACATCCGATTCCCCAGACGTACACAAGCAGTGGTTCTGTTATGCAGCTTGCTGATCAAGTCCAATAGAGTGGCTGGGACACCTATGCCCTTTAAGGCCTTCCATAGCCCGACTTGGTCAACTGAATCAAACGCAGGCTTAAGATTGACATACACCATGTGCAGGGGCTTCTTGAATTCGCAGCATATCTCCGACAAGTGGAGGGCCAAAATGATGTCTAACGTGGACCTGTTCCCCATAAAGCCTGACTGTTTGGGCCGATGCTTCTGATGTAACCGGGGCTCCAAACACGCCAGCAGAATGTGCACACACCCATTCCCCGGCACGGACATCAAGGTGATCGGCCTGTAGCTCTTACGTTTGCTGTGAAGACCCTTGCCCTTATAAAGCGAGATCACAATACCAGGACAGGCGGCTGGCAAGGATCCAGGCAAAAGATGGCCAGAAGTCAGCCTGCCTCTCTTCAATATTGACGTTGGAGGCAGTTGTGCCAGAACTGGTTACACAGTGGAGTGTTCTGTGTTGTAATAATTAAGTGGACTGAGAGTCGGAACAGTCTGTTCCTTATTGCATTGTTTCCAAAGGAGCTGGGTGTGCCCCCTGGAGGGGTATGAAGGACTAGCTGGGGGGTGGGACCTAGAGATCCCTCCCCGTTTTTCTTCAGCTCCTCAATGAGCAGCGGCAGTCAAAAAAGCTAACAATGTTGGGAATCACTAAGAAAGGGATAGATAATAGATAAAATATCATGTCACCTCTATATAAATCTATGGTACACCCACATCTTGAATACTGTGTGCAGATGTGGTCACCACATCTCAAAAAAGATGTATTGGAATTGCAAAAGGTCAAGAAAAGGATGACAAAAATGACAAGGGGTATGGAGCAGCTTCCGTATGAGGAGAGATTAATAGGATTGGGACTTTTCAGCTTGGAAAAGAGATGACTAAGGGGGGATATGATAGAGGTCTATAAAATCATGGCTGGTGTGGAGAAAGTAAATAAGGAAGTGTTGTTTACTGCTTCTCATAACCCAAGATCTAGGGGTCACCAAATGAAATTAATAGGCAGCGGATTTAAAACAAACAAAAGGAAGTATTTCTTCACACATCGCACAGTCAATCTGTGGAACTCTTTCCCAGAGGATGTTGTGAAGGCCAAGACTACAACAGGTTCAAAAAGAGCTAGATAAATTCATGGAGGATAGGTCCATCAATGGCTATTAGCCAGAATGGGCTGGGATGGTGTCCCTAGACTCTGTTTGCCAGAAGCTGAGAATGGGTGACAGGGGATGGATCATTTGATGATGCCCTGTTCTGTTCATTCCCTCTGGGGCACCTGGCATTGGCCACTGTTAGTAGACAGGAGACTGGGCTAGCTGGACCATTCGTCTGGCCACTCTTATGTGGGTGACCTGCCCTGTTAATATCAGTGGCTACTGTCTCTGGTGCTAAGGGGGGTCCTTTAAAACTGCCCATCGGCAACTTCTCGTGCTTTGAGTGAGGAAATGGGAGACTCATTTTATGATGCTCTAACCTGTGGATTGGCATCGAGCAACGAGATTGAAAGGGGAGGGTTGAGGTAGCTATTGCTTGCCTGACCAGAGCCTTTGCATGGGAAAACGCTCCATGTCACGTTTCAGTTTCCAGGCTTAATCAACATATAGAGGATGGCGTTTTTTAAAACTAAAACCTACCTCGAGATTTCACATCCGTTTCTCAGCCCCCATCTGAGTCAGGGAGTTTGTTGCCCAGACCGATGGGGCTTTTTTAGAAAGGTTCAACTTAAAAAAAGCATTTTTTAAAAACAAAATATTTACTTTTAAAACAAAGTGAGTCACCCTTCTCCAAAAATAGAAACTTAGGAGAATGAAACCGGTACAGAATCTGTGTGTCATGTCATAAGCCACTTGAGACTGAGATTCTGGTAAATGACTCAGCGCTGGGTTAAATAATAATGTCAACATCTCAGAAACTGCAACGTTCAGATAAAATGGAACAGAACTTTAACCCAAATTCCTCTTGTCAATATGCCATCTGACCTGATTTGACTCAGCAAATTCGTGGATTAAGTTTGGTTCCAGTTCCTGTTAGTCTTTCCCGATTTAGAGCCCCTAGATGTAAATTGCATTAAGAAATTCACAAGAGTGGAATAGCTCATATGGTTCCTGCGTGACTGTGTCTTGCTTTTTCAAACAAGGAGATGGATATTCACCACCTGGATGGGGGAGTAAGGTTTAATTATTGTTTGTAAAATGCTTTGATTGGGGTCTAGTGGTTAAAGGAGTCCTGACCCCCAGCTGCCTGCTCTGTTTCTGGCTTTGGGTGGGGAGTGGTGGCTAGTGGTTAAAGCAGCAGACTTTGGCAGTTCAGTCCTTTTCACAGCTCTGGAATGGGTGACCTTGTGTGAATGGCTTCATGGCTCTATGCCTCAGTTTCCCCATCTGTAAGATGGGGAACTGAACGCCAGCCCACAGTTGTGATTTGCTTTGAGATCCCAGAGGACCGCAGTGCAGTGTGGTGTTTAATATTAATGGCTGTTTCTTGCCAAAGCCAGGATTCTTGTGACAGCTGTGAGGGTCCCAAACACGGCCTCTCCGGGCACAGACGGCATCAAGTCCCGACCCCATTCCCAGGGCTAGCCAAGCAAAGGAGGGAGCGCCGGCACCTGTCGCTTACCTTGCACTGTCTGACTCTTGCTTTCTCTCGCACTCCAGAACCTGATGAAAATCGCGGCTCAGAATCTCGTCCAGAACACGAACATCGATAACGGGCAGTGAGTATTCTCTCCCCTCCTCCCCGGGCAGGGCTATCTTCTAACGCAGGAGCCAGAAGGCTTTCACCCGTGTCTTAAACTTCTCAGCATCAGAGGACACTGCCGGTCACTCCCCCTGGTGTAAAGCAGGAGTGACTCCAGTGCAGTTCATGGGGCCATCTCGAGATAGGCTGGGGTGAGTGACTAGCTCTGTTGTGTCAGTAAAGATCAGAGCCAGGCCTGCTTTTGGTGCCTTTCTGGAGCCCATGTTGTTCCGGTACCTAGCAACCAAACTTCCCGAAGTGGCTGTGGATGGCAGGTGCACCGGGTTCTGGGCACCCGATGGCTCCTGTCAGTACCGTCTGGGAGAATGAATCATAGAATCATAGAATATCAGGGTTGGAAGGGACCCCAGAAGGTCATCTAGTCCAACCCCCTGCTCGAAGCAGGACCAATTCCCAGTTAAATCATCCCAGCCAGGGCTTTGTCAAGCCTGACCTTAAAAACCTCTAAGGAAGGAGATTCTACCACCTCCCTAGGTAACGCATTCCAGTGTTTCACCACTCTCTTAGTGAAAAAGTTTTTCCTAATATCCAATCTAAACCTCCCCCATTGCAACTTGAATGAAGCCCTGGGTGACTTGAATAGGGTGCCCCAAATCAGTGCTGATTCGATCCCAGCGCAGCTGAGTAACGGCCAAACGCCACCCCCACCTGACAACTGCTGGGGGGCCCATGTGAAAGGAGTTGGCTGGGTCTAGTTGGAACGGGCACCCGCATGGCCAAAACCCACTCTTCCCTCCAGCACTCCAGCCCCATCGTGGGCAGGTGTTACAGAGAGGCCAGGGACTGAATGGCGGACAGTGACTGAGCTACCCCTGCTAAAGAGGTGACCCTCTGGGGTGGGGGAGCCATATTGTTGGGAGTGTGGAAGAGGGGAGAGTTTGCCCTGCAGCTGTCCCTTTTGTAGTGGTCACCCCAAGACTCATTAACGTGTCCCCTTTAAAGATGGGGTGGGCTACACCCGCTTTCCGGCCCAATTTACCATCCTCTCTGTTTCTGTCCCTGCCCGCTCTGCTGGAGACTCTGCTCCGCTTGCCCCACCCCCTTCACTGTAAATCCTCTGGAATCCGGCGGCATTGCCCCATCTCAGTTGGGATCCCCAGCATCTTGCTGTGCATTGGTGGGGGGCCAATGTTCCCCAGGGGTACCCAGGGTTGGGAGGCACCTCAGCACCACCTGCCCTTAGCGTGAAGCAGCTTGTTTGGCCCTGCTATGGCTCAGCTCCCTGAATCTAGCAGCCTCGGGCAGCACAAGCCCTGCCCTCCTCGCGCTCTCTGGAGCAGCAGACGCACGCCAACCTCCAAGTCCTCGGCATGTCTCCCTGTGGTGCCCAGGACACTCCCAGAATCCCAGGCCTGTTGTTCCCACAGGAACCGTGCTCATAAAATGCAATTCAGGCCCAGCACTTAGCTCAACACCACCTCGCTCCGCCCTCTTGGTAGGGAAAGTGAGAAGAAGTTTATTACCAAAGCACAGAGGAGGTTGGAAACACGGTTACATAGCAAACAAAATCTTAACGCGCTTCGGAGAGTCTAAACTCAACAGGTTAAACCTTCTGTCTGCAGAAGTTTGATCTCTCTTGAAGTTCTCTGCAGCGTTTTCAACCAAGCTGCCAGAAAAGGCCCCTTTTCATGGAACAAAACTGCCGTCCTTTTTCTTCCTTGGTGAAGGGTGCCTTCCCTCCCCCGGCTCTCTTTCTCTTCCTGTTAAATCCCCACAAGCCAGTGACGGGAGGCCCACTGTGACTGGGACCCTGCACAATTTACCTGTCAACAGGTGGATGGAGAGAGAGGGCCTGTCTGAGAGAGAACCTGATTTTCACCTTTGCTGGTGACCAGTACCTTGATCCAGACTTGAAGAATGTATTTGGAGTAGATATAGATACATAGAATCTGCACGTACATTTTCCCAATGATATTGCTGAGCACTGAGACACCAGCTTTCGTTTGGGAGCTCACGTGATGCCCTTTCATGAACCAGACTCAAGAAATAATTGTAACCCTTCTGCACCCCTTTCTCAGTTGACACTGAGGTTTGTGGGTCACAGGGGAGACTCCCAGCCTGGGGTCCAGCAGTCCCAGCAGAGGATCAGCCCCATTCTGTCTGCTCTCTCTTGTGGGGCCTAATCCCTGACCCGGGAGGTGCTGCAGTTTGGGTCTGCGTGCCTTTCCCGGAGCAGATGCCTCGGCTGCCGTGTCACAGTACCTGTTATTTCAGGAAGAGCAACGATGGGGTGGTGCAGCGTTTCGACAAGAGCCTGGAGGAGTTCTACGCCCTGTGCGACCAGCTGGAGCTGTGTCTGGTCAGTTAGCCCCTTATCGACAGTGCTTCATGGGAGTTGTAGTTTTGATGGCATCATGTCCCCTGTTCTCCTCCATAGGCCGGGGTCCGCAGCGGGACTTAGTGTCCCATGATGCACCCACGAGGCAATTGCATCACTGCAGTTGCTGGCTGTGGGGCATCATGGGAGATGGAGGCTGTCCGGAAAGCCCGGCCTATAGAGAAGGAGGCTGTGAAGCAACCAAACGGTGTCTCCCATGTTGCCCGCTACTGCAGTGATGCAATCATCTCGCACCACGAGACATGGTGCCTCTTGGGAGATGTAGTCCTACCCCATCTGAAATGTTTTTTAGTCCAAATGGCTATCTGAAAATTTCCTTTAATTTTACCAAAAGCTGCTTTGTTCGACCCCAGACTAACCTTTTTTAGTTCTTGATTTGCTGAAATTTAAAAAAAAAACCTTCATTTTTGGTTTGACCTACATTTTATTTTATTTTATTTTATTTTACTTCTCAGAATTGCCAGAGAGCCAAAAAATCCGTTATTTGCCCTGCTCTGACTGTGTGGCTCTGTCTCCCTCTCGTGGCTGGGTCACGCAGAGCAGTTCGGTCTCCAGGCTAATGGTCCTTTTAGTTCAGACAGTGGAGTCTTCACTGTTAGTTCTAGGCATTGTAGGTTTGGTCCCTACAGGGGACCCAGCCATGGGCATCATTACAGGTCCCTTTAGGGAGTATCGATCTCAGTCATTGACACAGGGGTCTGCAGCCATAAACAAAGACATGGGTCCTGCCCTGGCAAGTTCAGCAGGGAGACTGAGCTCTCTGCCCTCTACTGAAGGGAGCCTTTTCCGGGGCAGCGGGACAAAATGGGCTCAAGGGATGGGGGGCATTGTGGGGACTGCTGGGAGAGGTGGCTTTGAAGGAAGAGGAGCGTCTGTCAGGAGATGATGTGGTAGGACATCCCAGGCATAGGGAGTAGGGTGATGGGAGGGCTCAGAGCAAGGGGAAGGGAGGGGGTGGGAGCTGTGGGGCTTGGAGAAATGAGCACAGATGCACTGTGGGTACAGGCAAGAATGTGAATGCAAAGAGGCTAAATGTGGTGTTGATCTGTCCAGGGGCAGGTTAGAGACTAGAGGGAAGATTGTTCTGCCCAAGGCCGGAGGGCGAGTGGCTGGATCCCATGTGTTAACTGTTTCCCTCCCCTTCCAGCGGCTTGCCTACGAATGCCTGTCCCAGAGCTTCGACAGCACCAAGCATTCCCCCAACCTGGTGCCGACGGCCACCAAACCCGATGCGGTGCAGACCGAGAGCCTGCCCTACACCCAATACCTGAGCATGATCAAATCCCAGATCTCCTGCGCCAAGGACATCCACAACGCCCTGCTGGAGTGCTCCAACAAGATCACCGGCAAGATCCCCGCCCAAGGGGGGCCGTAGCCCACGGTGCTGGCACAGTTATTGTTCCTGCTCTGCGACCACCGTGGTTTGAAGGAGACTTGGCTCGTTTCCAGGCCGGCGCTGTGTCAGACGGTGAAACTTTACAAACTTGCACCTGACCCACGGCCTGTCTCATGTCCTCTGAATTCCCTGCGTGGGTGGATGCTCTTGTTCGTATGGAGAGTGAAACAAATGTTCCTGCTCTGCTTCTTCCTCCCCTCTCATTCTCCTCTAACTCCCTCTGGTCTTACTCCTTCCTCCTGCCCGGGCGTGATCCTCAGCTGTCGTCAGGCCTTCGCCGAGCTCACTGTTGCTACACTCGCCTATACCACCCGATGTCTTGGCCCACGTACATTCAGAACGCATTAGCCCTCTCACCCGGCACGCGATCTGCTTGCTGGGTCTGCCATGCCAGGGCCTAAGCACCCTCCACTCCCCTTTGACCTCAGGAGGGGTCGAGGAGACCCGAGATTGTGCTGCTAGTGAAGTGAGGAGGATCAGACAGAATCTTTCTCTGCCATCAAATTAAAACTTCCCCCAACCCCAGGTGAATGGGCTGGATTGTAGCTTTCCAGGTTGGTGGGTGTATTGTTTATTCTTCTTAAAGAGTAACCATTTCAGAGAAATGCCATTGAGTTAAAACAACCCCAGGTGTTAATTTCCTCCCGCCAACACACTGCCTTTACCCCATTGTAACCTTTCTGTCCTTTGAGACATTTCTCTCCTGACCAGCATGGAGCGAGAGGGGAGTTGGGCTCCGGCTCATTTAAAGCTCATTTATGATAATGCCTGTGACCGTTTAAAACAGAAGGCTGGACCGTGATTCCATTCACACCAACACAGAGCAGAAGTAATGAACAGAATTATCTCTGCATCAGACTGGCATAAAACCTAGAGGAGAATCCCTTCCAAAGAGTGAATTAAAGCAAAACAACTTTGATTCAGTTTGTTTCCCTCTATTTGTCAGACTCAATCTAGCCTGGTCAGTTTCACTTTCCATTTCTAATCAGTTTCACCTTCTCTCTCCCTTCCCAGTTTGCTCCAGGGATCTGAATTTTACTCCTAGGGGAATTCTGCATCACTGAGCATGCGCAGAATTCCTGTTCCCCACAGATTTTTTTTGTTTCCCTGCAGAACAATTGATTCTGAAAGGGATGCCACAAGAGGGGGGGTCACATGCCCTTCCTTGGCAGCGGTCCCAAGCGGGCACGTGGGAGCAGCTGGGAGAGATGTAAATCACTGCTGCCGGGCTGGGTGTGCATGTAAGACTGACTCTATCGCTCACTATTGCGATGCGCCCAGCAGGGAGGGGCAGGGCACTGGGGTGTTTGTGGGGAAGGCCTGGCCCTTGCTCTGTGTCAGGGTTGGGTGGTGGGGGGAGGGCTGCAGGGTGATCCCCCACCTCTGTGCAGCCCCAGTGTGCGCTCCTTGCTGCACATGCCCTGCAGAGGCTGATGCAAGCAGCTGTGGGAAGCTGCAAGGAGCCTTGGCCGGGGCGCCATATAAGGAGGGAGGGGGGGCATAGCCCCCCCGCCAAGTTTCACACCAGAGGTCAGCTCACGGCGCACGCCCCAGTTCCAGGCAGAGCTCTTACCTGCAGCCTTGCACAGGCAGGTCCCTCCTCCAGGACCTGGAATTCTCTGGCTGCGACTCCCATGGTCAGTTTCCTCCACTGCCTAGGGCCTCTGGGGGTGGGGCAGGCAAGAAAGAGGGTGGTGGTGGGGAGCACAAGTCTGCAGAGGTGGTGGTGGGAGGTGAGAAGAAGCAGAGGGAGCACAGGGCTCCCAGTTGCCGGGAGGGTGTTGGAGCCTGGCGGGGCCAGTGGGGTGGGAAATCTCTAGGGGAAGAGAGAGGTGAGGGCATAGGGCTGTGCCCTGAAGGAGAGGGGCAGTGAGCATGGGCAGAGCAATTGAGGGGGCACAGTCCCCGTGGCAAGGATCATGAGGGGGAGGGAGCTGAAGAAGGGTGGGGGACTAGGAGCAGTGAAGTCTTGGGATTTGTTCTCAGAGAATCAGGGAGCACCTTCACCTCTCCCTGGGAAGAGGCTTGGGACAGGACCCCCCCCCCCCCCCCCGAAGATGATGCCTTCGCTCAGCTGACTCATCTGCTCTCTGCCTTCCTCCCCATCTCTCCTACTTCAGGGTAACTTCCACCTTGGTCCTGCAATGAGGATCCATGTGGGCGCAGGGGTTTCTTTAACTCTACGCCTGGGGGAATCTTTTTTGTGCCCTGTATTGTTACAGACGTACTTCCTGCTGGTTTCAATTATTTGGGGGATTTCTTTCACAATCCCTGGCGGGATTATATTGGGTTATTTTGACGAATAAAATATGCAGAATTTTAATGGATTTGTAGTGCAGCATTTTCCATTTTTGGATGCAGAATTCCCCCAGGAGTTGAGTTTGGGCTTTTCAAATTACAAAGTGCGGTTTAGAATTTATATTCAGAAGGACAAGGAGTCTCACACACACTTTGGCCCTTTGATTTCTTTAAAAAAAAAAACAAAACCAAAAAACTTTTCCTATTCGGGTTTTTCTAAAACTTTTTTTGCATTCAACCATAAAATGTATTTGACAGCAGGCTGCGTTCTAAGCCCCGAGGAGTAAATCCGCAGCCTCCCATTGAAAGCACCAGGCACATGGTGGATTTACTCTGGCACTTGACCGATCGGAAGCCAGCCCGCAGGTTTCTTGGTGTCGTCATTCTAATAAAAGCTCTGACCTGTCTCTTTGCGATGGTGTGAGGTTTAGTTTCTAAAAGCTGATGCCTAACGCTGCTTCTCTCATTCTGCTCTGTCACTGTTGGGGCAGAGCCCCGGCCTAGTACCCTTCCTTGAAATGCGGGACTGTACTCCAGCTGCCCTAGGCCCTGGAAAACCAGGGGTGAGCTTTCCCACGCACGCTTCCCCGGCTTTCCACCTACCCAGGCGTGCTTTGGTTCACAGTTTAACCCCTGGGGGAGCACATGGCCCATAAAGCAATGGACTTTGCACCTGACGACAGCCTGCAGGAGGGGCCTGTCTGCCTGAGAAGGTGATTATCTATCCCACAATAGTCCTATCCTGAAAATGGGGATATGAGCGTAGAGTTGGGGGGCAGGGAGAGCAAAGGTGACTGTGGTTAAGAAACCCCATTGCAGCAGCTTGGGGGCTAGATCATTAAAGGTTTTTAGGACCTTAATTGCCACTGTCACCAGTAGGAGTTAAGCACCTATCTAAAGCTGAGGATCAACTCCCACCGGTGGAGGGCTGAAATACCTTTGGAGGATCTCAGCCCATGTTCCTTGCTTGGCAGGCCATTTGGGGGGGGAGGGGAGAGCCAATCCTGTGTTCTTCAAAAGAACGCAGCTCCGGGGCCCTTAATGAGGGATGGAGGGAGGAAGGAGTCTCCCCTGGTCATGAGGGCTCGGGGGAAAATCCACCCGCCAGCCCCAGCGCCCCTCGGCTTCAGCTGCAGCTGGTGCTTTCTGGGAATCTGGTCCAGAGCCACTCGCATTCAGCACCCGAAAATCAGCACCTGCTTTAGAAAGCGCTGCCCTCAGCCCGCTCCAGGAAGTGGGCGCGGGCTAGCCCGAATGGGCCGTGCGGCTAGGGACAATCGGGGATTGGGCCCAGAGCTTAATTAGCTAAGCCAGACTCTTAACAAGCCCGGGACCTGGATCCCTTTGTGGATCTGCTGTAACAAGGGTGCGTTTCAGTCCTCCCTGCCCCGCTGGAGGGAGATGAGTCTCCTTGGGGCGATTGCCCCTGGCTTTTGGCCAGCAGTCACCCAGTCCCCAGCCAACTGTGCTCAGTTCAGGGTCTTCGACACTCTTGCTGTCCCCTGGTGCAAAGGCCCCCAGCTTCCTGCCCATTCACAGCAGCTGGTCTGCCAGAACTAGGCAGGATCATGGGGCACAGGACATAGGCCTAGAAGCAAGAGAAGGTTGTGGGGCCCATGCTCAGGTAATGTAGGGGGGCTGGTGATCCACTCCCTAAGGGGCAGAGAACATCCCCAGTGCAGGGCGCTCTGGCCACAGCCCCGATCCGCCCCACTATTGGAGGGCAGAGAATAGCCACAGCTCAGTGCACTCTGACCACTCCCCTGATCCGCCCCCTCTGGGCCCTGGGGGGCAGAGAATAGCCCCAGTGCAGTGCGCTCTGGCCACAGCCCCGATCCGCCCCCTATGGGCCGTGGGGGGCAGAGAATAGCCACAGCTCAGTGCGCTCCGGCCACGCCCTTAATCCGCCCCCTATGCTGGGGCCCGTATGCCCAGCTCCACGCTGGCTGGGGAGATCCCCTGCACGGGTGAGAGTCTCAGGGGGCCGTTTCCACCCATGTTGAAGGCCCCTGTGCTGCTGGATCCTCTCCCCGCGGCTTGGCAGGGCCCCGGGTGGCTTTGGCCGACGTCTTTGTTCCTTGACCTTGAGCGCTTCAGAGCGACACGACCGGGAAGCTGGGCTTCGAGGAGTTCAAGTATTTGTGGGGGAACATCAAGAAGTGGCAGGTAGAGAGATCGGGGGGAGGGGGGCGGTTATCACGTGTGGCTGAGACCCGACCGTACCCCCCCTCTGGTGTGGGAACAGGAGGGGGAACGAGAGACCTTGGGGCTCCCAGTCTAGGGGGGGCCTTTTCAAGAGCGCTGGACTCCAAGCAGCCTTCCCGGCTGGAATTGACATGCGTTACTTTCAGCCCTGCGTGTGTGTGGGGGGGACCTTGCTGCTGCATTGCCTTCTGGGTACCCAGAATTCCCAGCGCCGCACCCCTGCCTACCTGCCAGAGGTACTGGGGGTGCCCGGCAGGGGGGCAGCTGGGATCCGAGCAGTCCCCTCCTTGGGGGCAGAGTTAAGGGGCTGCGTTGCCTCTGATGTCCCCCTCCCTGCTCCCTCCGTCACCCAGCGCTCTAGGGAGGGGCTGCCGTTTTAGTGGGGGGAGAGCGCTGGGTGACTCTCTTAGCCCATAACCAACTTGTCTCCCCCCACCCACCCCCAGTGTGTCTACAAACAGTACGACACGGACCGATCCGGCACCATCGGGAGCAGCGAGCTGCCAGGCGCCTTCGAGGCAGCGGGTAAGGAGCCACTGAAGGGTGGGATTGGCGGGCGGGGGGGACGGACCCACAAGGGCTGTCTCAGGTCTATGGGGAGTGACTGTCTCTGCCCCCCACCCCCAGGCTTCCGGCTGAACGAGCAGCTGTACCAGATGATCGTGCGCAGGTTCTCGGACGAGAATGGCCACATGGACTTCGACAACTTCATCAGCTGCCTGGTTCGCCTGGACGCCATGTTCCATAAGTGGCCTGCGGGTCGGTCCTGGGGATGGGGGGGAGGGTTCTGGGGTCCTCTGCCCCCCTTTTGCCTCCGTCCACCCCCACCCCCTGCCTCTAGTGTGAGCTGGGCCCCTCCCATCTGGGTTTAGCTCTGTGTTTGTACAGCTCCTGGCACATGACAGGGGCTCCTAGGTACTACCGCAATACATCTAATAGCACTAAAATGTACAGCACCTGGCACAATGGGGCCTGGTCCATGACTCAGGCTCCTAGGTGCTACCGTAATATACCTAATAGCACTAAAATGTACAGCGCCAGACACAGTGGGGCCTGGTCCATGACTCGGGTGCCTAGGTGCTACCGTAATCCACCTAATCGCGTTAAACGGTATAGTGCCTAGTGCCATGATGGGCCCCTACGTGCTACCGTAGTACAACTAATAGCCATAAAAGTGTGCAGCGCCTGGCACCGGGGGTGTGTGCTCTGCTGCCCCCTGCTGGCTGGGATCAGGACCACTCAGCTGTGTGTACTGGCTCCCTCTGCTGCTCACAGCCGATGAATATCCTCCTCGAGCAGCTGGGAGGGGAGTTCAAATCCCTCTGGCATCAAGGCCGCCCCTCCCGGGGGGGTTTCCCCCCAAGGGGTTGCGGGGGGAGGGGGGGCTGTGCGAATAACCACTCCTGCAATGAAGCGGCAGGGCTGGGAAGAGGACGTCCAGTTCTAGGCAGGTTCCTGCGGTTGGAAAAGGAGGTTGCATCACTGCAGAATTTTTAGGGCTGAAGCCTCGGAACTGGGACCCCTGCTCCCGCTGTTTGCGGTCAGGGAGGGGGAAGCTGCATCCTGTGGCTGGGGGTGGGAAAGGAGGGACGAGCCCCTCGTAGGGAGGGAACGCTCTGTCCTAGGCCAGCGTGGCCTCCCCTCTCTGCCAAACCCGGGAGCAGCAGTGAGCTCTTGGAAACAGGAACCAGCTGCCAAGCTCCAGCCCAGCAGCAGGGCGGGAACAAGGAGCCAAGCCACTTCGGACACAGGCCAGGCCAGATTACACAGTCAGTGGTGTAAAACTGGAGTCACTCCCTGACTGGCTTCAGTGCAGCCTGGGCCAGATTCTGATCACAGTGGTGTAAATCTGGAGTCACTCCCCAACTGGCTTCAGTGCAACCCAAGGCAGATTCTGATCTCAGTTGTGTAAACAGGAGTCGCCACATGGATGTCAGTGGCGTGACTATAGCTTCTGATCCTGTTTATGTCAGTGTGAAAGCTGGAGTAACTCCACCAGGGCAGATCCTGATCCGAGGTATACCTAGAGGGTAAACCTAGAGGGACTCCACTGGAGCAAAGGCCAGGTGCTGATCTCAGTCACATACCTTCCCCCTGGGTCACTCACTCTCTGTGCTGTATGTTAATAACTAACGAGGCCTGTCCCGGCCTCCTGGCATGTGGGCCAGTAGCATTCTCCTCATTTTATAGGTGGGGAAACTGAGACACAGGGATGGGAAAGGTCACACAGCCAGAAGAAGAACCCAGGAGTCCTGACTGTTACCTCTCTGCTCTAAACCACTAGACCATGCTGCACCTCCTTGCTCTAACCATTGGACACCACTCCCATCCCAGAGCTGGGAGTGGAATCCAGGAGTCCTGACCCCCAGCCCCCTGCTCTAACCACTCCATTGAGTGTAGCTGGCGCTGTGCTGCGTGACCTGCATTGCCTGGCAGTGGCGGGGGAGGGGGGGGGCCTGTTTGCAAACCCAAAATCAACTCCCCCTCCCCTGAAGTTCCTGCGTGAGCCTCTGAGCTCATTTCCTGGTTCGGATTTTCATCCCTCCAGCTGAGAGCGGAGTGGTGGTGGTGGTGGGTCCGGGGGAGCAGAGGTGGGGGTGGAAAGGGGAGGGGTGCTTGTGGCCGGGGGGCGGGGAGTGGCTGATCTAGGCTGAGGGATGAACTCACAGAGAACAGCCTGTTCTTTGCATGGCAAGAGGGGAATTCTCTGCATTGTTTCTGATTTACGCAACTTCTTCCCACCCTGGCAGCCCTGCTGCGGGGATGGGCTGGCCGGCGGGGAGGGGCGGCTGGAAGTGGGGGATGGGGAAGCCCCTTGATTCCCCCCTGAAAGTCTGCCTCCCAGCCCCCTACTCTGTCCCCTGCAACCCAGCCCTCTTCCCACAGCCAGATTTGCAGGATTTCCTGTTGTGGCTCACCGGGCTGGCAGGCCAGCCCCCAGCCCCAGGGCTGCCCCGAGTGGCAGAGGACTCTCTGGGGAGGGGAGGGCAGAGAGTGATACAGCTGGGGAGCAGGGGGCAGGGAAAAAGGGAGCCCTCTTAACATGAGCACCCTATGCTGCAACCCTGGCACTCCCCTGTGCCTTGCCTCCTTCCTGGGGTGCATTGGGGCGCGGGCCAGGCCCCCTCTGAGCTCCAGGGAAGCAGGAACTGGGCCGGAGCACCTCCTTGGTGGGGCACCATACGGGGCCCTGGTAAAGGCCCCAGGGGTTGTTCCCCGGCTCAGTTCAGGCTGATGGGGTGTGTGTACTGTAGCATGTGAGTGTGACAGAGGGGTGTGCACTGTCTGTGTTTCAGAGTAACAGCTGTGTTAGTCTGTATTCGCAAAAAGAACAGGAGGACTTGGGGCACCTTAGAGACTAACCCATTTATCTGAGCATGAGCTTTCGTGAGTTACAGCTCACTTCATCGGATGCATGCAGTGGAAAGTGTAGAAGATCTTTTTATATACACACAAAGCATGAAAAAATACCTCCCCGCACCCCACTCTCCTGCTGGTAATAGCTTATCTAAAGTGATCACACACACAGCTCACAAATACCGACACTTATCTAAAGTGATCACTCTCCTTACAGTGTGTATGATATGGAAATGGAAATGGCCCACCTTGATTATCATACACACTGTAAGGAGAGGTTTCAGAGGAACAGCCGTGTTAGTCTGTATTCGCAAAAAGAATGATGAGGTGAGCTGTGGCTCGCGGGGGCTCATGCTCAAATGAATTGGTTGGTCTCTAGGGTGCCACAAGTACTCCTTTTCTTTTTGCGAATACAGACTAACACGGCTGTTCCTCTGAAACCTGTCTTTATGTCTGAAGGCACACTGCCTCAGCTTCTCCACTTTTCGAGGCTCTCTTGATTAAATTACCAAAGTAAACTCTTTTCTAATTCAAAAGGAGTACTTGTGGCACCTTAGAGACTAGCCAGTTTGTTTGAGCATGAGCTTTCGTGGGCTGCAGCTCACTTCATCGGATGCATGCCGTGGAGACTGCAGCAGACTTTGTGTATGCACAGAGAGTGTGGAGCAGTGCCTTCTCCCACCCCACTGTCCTGCTGGTGATGGCTTATCTGGAGTGATCATCAGGTTGGGCCATTTCCAGCACAAATCCAGGTTTGTGAGTTTGTGTGTGTATGGGGGTGGGGGGGATGTGAGAAAACCTGGATTTGTGCAGGAAATGGCCCAACTTGATTATCATGCACATTGTGTAAAGAGTTGTCACTTTGGATGGGCTATCACCAGCAGGAGAGTGAATTTGTGTGTGGGGGGTGGAGGGTGAGAAAACCTGGATTTGTGCTGGAAATGGCCCAACCTGATGATCACTTTAGATAAGCTATTACCAGCAGGACAGTGGGGTGGGAGGAGGTATTGTTTCATATTCTCTGTGTGTATATAAAGTCTGCTGCAGTTTCCACGGTATGCATCCGATGAAGTGAGCTGTAGCTCACGAAAGCTCATACTCAAATAAATTGGTTAGTCTCTAAGGTGCCACAAGTCCTCCTTTTCTTTTTACTGTCTGTGAGAGTGATCAGCTTTAGATAAGTGTCGGTATTTGTGAGCTGTGTGTGTGATCACTTTAGATAAGCTATTACCGGCAGGAGAGTGGGGTGGGGGGAGGTATTTTTTCATGCTTTGTGTGTATATAAAAAGATCTTCTGCACTTTCCACAGTATGCATCCGATGAAGTGAGCTGTAACTCACGAAAGCTCATGCTCAGATAAATGGGTTCGTCTCTAGGGTGCCCCAAGTCCTCCTGTTCTTTTCCCTGTCTGTGTGTGAGTGCGAGGGGGCATGCACAGGACAGAAGGTGTGTGAGCAACACACTGGGTGTGCACGCAGGCGAGAGCAGGTGTGCCGGCGGGTGGGTTTCCGGACGCGCCAGCCAGTGCGTCACTGAGAGGGTTTGTGGGTTAGCGTGTGTGTGGCAGGGCGCTGTGGCAGTCCGGGCAGGGGCGGGGGGGTGGCTGTGTGTTTGCTGTGGGTGAATTGGGTGTGGGTGAGGTGTGAATTCTGCCTTTCCTTGGAAGAGGGGGAGGGATGCGTTGTGTTTGTTTGGTTTTGGGGTGGGGGGGGATGGGAGAGAGAGAGATCTGTGTCTGGGGAGCTGAGAGTGTCTGAAAGTTGGGCGGGGTTGTTAGCCGTGTGTGTGTGGGGGGGGCAGGGTTGTTAGCTGTGTGCGTTAGCTCAGTGTTTGTGTCAGTGTGTCTTGGTTAGCTGTGTGAGCGCTGTGTGTGTTTGTGATCTTTGCGCGTGTCCGGGTTTTTTAGCTGTGTGTGTGAAGGGTCAGCTCTGTGTGTGTGTTAGAGCTGTGTAGTTGTGTCGGTATTTGTGAGCTGTGTGTGGGTCTGGGGGCGCTGTGCGATTGTGTTAGTGAGGTTTTGTGAGCCCTGTGTTAATGTCAGTGAGCTCTGTGCGGTTGTGTGAGTGTGTAGGTGTGTTTGTGTGAGCTCTGTGCGGTTGTGTCGGTGTGTAGGTGTGTGTGTGTGAGCTCTGTGCGGTTGTGTCGGTGTGTAGATGTGTAGATGTGTTTGTGGGAGCTCTGTGCGGTTGTGTCGGTGTGTAGGTGTGTTTGTGCGAGCTCTGTGCGGTTGTGTCGGTGTGTAGGTGTTTGTGCGAGCTCTGTGCGGTTGTGTCAGTGTGTAGGTGTGTTTGTGGGAGCTCTGTGCGGTTGTGGCAGTGTGTAGGTGTGTTTGTGGGAGCTCTGTGCGGTTGTGTCGGTGTGTAGGTGTGTTTGTGGGAGCTCTGTGCGGTTGTGTCGGTGTGTAGGTGTGTTTGTGGGAGCTCTGTGCGGTTGTGTCGGTGTGTAGGTGTGTTTGTGCGAGCTCTGTGCGGTTGTGTCGGTGTGTAGATGTGTTTGTGCGAGCTCTGTGCGGTTGTGTCGGTGTGTAGATGTGTTTGTGCGAGTTCTGTGCGGTTGTGTCGGTGTGTAGATGTGTTTGTGCGGAGCTCTGTGCGGTTGTGGCAGTGTGTAGATGTGTTTGTGGGAGCTCTGTGCGGTTGTGTCAGTGTGTAGGTGTGTTTGTGCGAGCTCTGTGCGGTTGTGTCAGTGTGTAGGTGTGTTTGTGGGAGCTCTGTGCGGTTGTGTCAGTGTGTAGGTGTGTTTGTGCGAGCTCTGTGCGGTTGTGTCAGTGTGTAGATGTGTTTGTGCGAGCTCTGTG